ATGAAAAATATACACTGCCTCGGCGTTTTTAGCTCAACTGGTCAGAAAACAGAAGAGCTTATGCGATAGTTATGCGCCTGGCGTCCGTCTGCCTGTCTGTCCATAAAGTGAAGTTCAGAGGGAAGAAAAGGAATAGGAAATTATGTCAAACAAATCTACTTAACAAAAATCAAATAGTAAACAAAAAGTCATGTAATTGTAACGATGAAATGTTTTCTCTTTTTTCTCGAAACTTTTATGTCAAAAAGAATTGTAAGTTTATTATGCTTTAAGCACAAGAATGTATTATGATATCTTTTGTCGAGTCAGAGGCCCTATACAAAGCATTTAAGATAAATGCTATTATGTATTTAATGGACTTGGAAAATTAAGCGGAAAACGTCATCTTGAGATTGACAATTCTACTACTCCCGTCAAACTTCCTACAATCCCTATACACGGAGAAATAAATCGAGAAATGTTCAGCGCACTTCTTTGTGCGCAATAAATATACAGTTTTTTTTCAATGGGTGACACTGTAGGACACTTGTTTGATTTAAGAAAATCCAAGAAATATAATAACTCTTGATGGATGTTGATACTGCTGACTTCATTTCCCTCTAGATATATTTAATTCTTTGGGAAATAGTACTTCAAACCTGTTACTTTGCTTGCCTTTTGGCTTATCTGCAAAAGGGGTTAATGTAAACATTGAATTCATCTGTGTAATCATATGCAAATAGTTGAGTCATATCCGAAGAACGAGACAATCCTGTTGCGTCTATTTCAAATGCCATAAGTGTGCTCTCTTCAGAAAGGGCTGCAATGGACGGAATTGGTTCTATGTCTGAAGATTTCAAAGTCCATATGTTGGTTTTATATGTTTGTCCCTCTTTTATAGTCTTCACGGTCTCCATTTTGTAATTCTTCTGATGAAATAAACATATTGTTTATATAAGAAGAACCAGAATATGGTGAAACTTAGTGATAATGTTAGTATGCAGTATGTACACAGTAGCAATTACATTTCTACCAATAAAGATGAAAATAAGAAAAGTTTATGACAATCTAAACAACAAAGACAAACAATGGAAAAATTTTGTTCAGTAATGTTCCCATGAGCCTCTACATCAGGTGAGCTAAATATTAAAAAAAACAATTATCTATCCATGTAAACATGCTCTGTATAACTCAGAAACTCAAAACAAATATCTGGCTAAAAACACTTTTAAGGTAAATAAATGATAGTGAAAATAAATATATTCTTGAAAGATGGTTTTAAATGTTAGATAAGAAAACTGAAAAATATCAACAAAAATAATTTTAATTCACCTAAAAAGTTTACCTTTCAGTATACTTAGAGAGAGAAAAAGCAATATTTGCAAAGAATAATAATTTAAAATATAATTTTTCTTTCTTCTCAAAGTAGTTTGCTTACTTAATAAATGTGCCGTCCATTTTCTTTGACAGAAAATTTGATTTGCTGTGAACAATTGGTGAGATTACTTACTTCCGTAATGATTCCACATATTGAGACCCGCTTCAAGTGCCTCAGCAGGGATTATCACTGGAGGGGCCGAAAAATTTCGGACCTCCTCCTCCCATTTGTTCATCAGGACTCCTTTGTCATCCTCTGGTAAGTTCTTAAGCTGCAAACAAAATGTGTTTTTGAAATACTTTGCACCCAGCGTAAATAGAGTTTGAAAAATCTTATTTTAGCATATCACAGGGATAAATCTATGTTTTGGGGAAACTACCCTTTCTGAAGAAATTGGGAAAAACAGGAAGGGTTTGGAAACAACTTGAGCTAGTGCAGGGAAAGCCCTGCTTTGTGGACCATGTCAGCATTTTTATGATTATTAAAAAAAACTCTTATCATTTATAAGAAATTCAACTTAGGAATATGTAGAAAAAAATTCTTAACTACTGGGCCAAGAAAGGTGACTCATATGGTATCATCCTCAGGTAGTGTAGATTCACGTTTTTTCAAATCATTACCCCAAGGGGTTGGGTGGGGCCTATATGGCCTGTAGTTTTACGTAGTAATATATACTATAGGAAAATTTTTTCTCAAAAACAATAGAGACAGGAAATATAAAACTCAAGTGAAATCATGCTCAGGTAGTGTAGATTCAAATTCGTTCAAATCACGATCCCTGGGCTAAGGTGTGGCCATTATGTGTGGTATATTTTTATAAAGGTATATATAGGAAAATTTTTTTTGAAATCTTCTTCTCAAGAACCAGAGGGCCAGTATAGTAAACTTATGACATGTGGAATCATTGATATTTGTTCAAATCATGACCCCCGTGGTAGGGTTGGGCCAAAATAATCGATCAAGGTTTTTCATAAAATTATATAGGACAATCTTTTAAAATCTCCTTTTCAAGTACTCCAAAGCCTTGATTAGTGATATTATATTGAATCATCCTCAGGTACTAAGTGAAGATTCTATTTTGTTAAAAACATTACTCATAAAGGGGTTAAACTTTAAGCCTCCCCGCCAATACATCTTACCTCAGTAAACTTTCATTCCTGATCTGAAATTTGCTTTTTCCTAGCCCATGTGTGCTGGGGGGTGTCCCCTCTTGTGTAGTGAATATTCTCAATTGTTCAAATCATGTTTGGTGGAAGGGGGGCTTAATGTGTATAAAAAAAATGGAAAATCTAGCGAAGAGCAGCAGGGGTCTTTTGTTTTAATTTGTAAGGTTTTCAAAATCAGTAAGACGTTCTCTGAAAATTGACTCTACTAAATCGTAATTACAGTTTAGGGTCCACCAACTATTCCATTCCAATATATAAGAGCTGTTTAGAGCATATTTTATATGTATGCTTTAGAACTGCTTTTTCTTTATAATTATGTTCCCCAAACGAAGTTGGGGAACATATTGTTTTTACTCTGTTTCTTATTATTATTATTATTATTATTATTATTATTATTCCTGGGAAAATTTTGTCCTTGAGTGATCTTGTAAACTACACATCCGACTAAGGTAAAATGTTTTTAGGGTCAGTAGACATGTTATGTAGATTTGCCGAACAAAGGTCATTTTGCGCGCACGTGCTTGCAAGAGCGCGCACGTGCAACACGTGAAATGGCCGATTTAATTGATATAGGCATAACTTTTTTAATTTTTGATGAAATGCTTTGAAACTCATATTGTAAAAATATATTAGTAATATAGACAAGATGACATGGTCAAAATAGCAAGATCTCACGCGCATGCACGTGCGCTTTGCTCTGATTGGCTGAAACTAAAGTCTCAATATCTTTCTTGTTTTTTGACGAAATCCTTTGAAATTTTGAACATAGCCATGCATTAGAATATCCTACAACATGATATATAGAAAAAATCATGAAAACACGTGCATGCACGTACGCTGCAATCTGATTGGCTGAAACTTTTAATAGCTATAACTCCTTGGGTTTTCATCCAAACAGGATGGAATTTGGAACATAGATATATAAAACGGACTTCTACAAGAAGGTATGGTCACCATGCACATGCATGCACTTGCGTGGACGTGAGCTGCAATCTGATTGGCTGAATCTTTAAACAGTTATAACTCTCTTGTTTTTCAACCAAACAGGATGGGATTTTGAACATGGATTTATATAATGGACTTCTTTAAGAAGGTATGGTCACCATGCACATGTATGCACATGCGTGCACGTGAAATGGGTAAAATCAAAAATACACTTGAATGAGCGAATTTTTTAAATATTTTTGGATTAAATTCTTTAATATTTAGTATATTAAAATATATAGATTGTATAGACAAGATGATATGGTCATTACGTACATGCATTCACATGCGCACACATGCAATGCTAAAATTTGAATGAGCATGGTACATTTCTGGGTAAACGTTGTTATTAAATCAAATGCATAGAGTTTGTGTTATTTAATGAAGCTTACGGGGAATATGGCACCAAAAGGGAGTTGGGGAGCGTTTGGGGAACATCTGTAACGGTCCCCGTTACAATTAGCACTAGTTTATTATATTTTAAAATGTTTTTGTAATTGGTTATGTGTTTTGTAGGGTTTCAAGTTACAACATTTATAAAAAAGATTTACATATTGTGGACAGGTACTCACTACGGTTCCTCTCTTGATTTGATGATTAAAGTGTGTTGTTATGACTGCCTCTGATGGCACTTTAAATATATCCCCCCTTTTCCTGGAGAAGGCAACATCAGATGGCATCATGTTCATCAGAGGTGTTAAGGTTCGGGAAAAGGATGATCCAGTGTGTGATGTATACTTCCTCTCCTCCCCTTCCTCCAAAACTAAAAAGAACTCAAACTGGGATTTCTGGAAAAAAGAAGAGTATTGGAAAAGGTATAGCAAGCATTTATTAATCATTATTAACCTAAAATTGTTTATATTAAAAGGATGGGGGATTTTCTGAATTTTAATTCATATTTCATTTAATACTATTAAAGGTATACTAAATTTAAAATCTCTATGATTTACAAAATTCCTACAAAACTGAAAATGTTTGCCTATTAAAGAGCATACATACTCTAAAAAGAACAAAAACAACCATTTTCTATTGATTTACAATAATATGGAGTGAAGACACATTCACCGTTAAAGTACTTTTTTTTTTTTTTTTTTTTTTTTTTTTTTTACAATATTTGCATCTTTCTGAGAATTACTTTTAAGTCCATTGAGTCAAGGGTCAAAATGAAATGCCGAAGGCTCAAGTAAGCTTTTCTGATCAGATTTTGTCTAGCGTCCGTTAACTCTTCACATTTTTCACTTCTTCTCAAGAACTGCTTGGCCAATTTCAACCAAACTTGCCATGAAGCATCCTTGGGTAAATGAGATTCAATTTTATTTAGCTTTCGATTATATAAGGCAAAATAGCTTTTTCCAATTTTGTCGCCGCTAGGCACATAGTGTTTCACAAGTCACATCTTGTTCTGTTTTCCTTGCAGCAAATGACAAGGATGAATACTTCTATGCTGGATTAATGATAGCAGTTTGTTTAGTTCATGGGGGACCAGCACCACACTACTTTGCCCCTTGTCTTCTTGAAGCTTTGGAGAAAGGACCAATGAACACATGAGTGTCTTTTAAGGATATGCTAGATCCTGAGTTAAAAGCACAGTTGGAAAAAGGTTTGTTGTCTTTTATAGACCCAGGTTTAATGGAGGAGGGGGCAATTAAAAGATGTACTCATATAAGCAAGGCTGGCGAACATCTGTCGTTATTTATTATTAGCTCACCTGAGCCGAGGGCTCAGTGAGATTTTCTGATCAAAGTTTGTCTGTCGTCGTCGTTGTTGTCTTAAACTTTTCACATTTTCATCTTCTTCTCAAGAAAAACAGGGCAAATTTCAAACAAACTAGCCTCTAAGTATCCTTAGGTGAAGGGGATTCAACTTTATTCAAATGAAGGGCTCAGTGGTTCTTGAGAAAAAGATAACCTCTGAGGGTATGGTTGGGCCACAATTGCCAATCAAATTTTTACATATGAATATATATATATATATATAAGGAAAATCTTCTTCTCAAGAAGCATTAAGAGAGGAAAAATGAAACTCGTGTAAATTCACTCTCGGGTAGTGTAGATTCAAGTTTGTTCAAATCATGACCCCCGGGGGAGGGTAGGACCAATTTATGGTTGATCAAAGTTTTACGTAGGACTAGATAGGGAAATCTTTCCATCAGGCTTGATATCAGCCTTGATGTTTCTGCTGTCCCTCGGGTCAACCTTCGACAGTGTTGTTGGAGCTCGCTGGAAGACAACTTTCGAAAGACGTCATCATACGTTGGGTCGGGAATACCTTCCTGGATCATCTCTGCCCGCTTTGCAGTCTTCAGTAGTTTGAGGTCACCCTCATCATACTTGAAGATGCACTGCTTCAGTTTCCCCATGAATACACTGTACAGCTGATGTTTATCAGTTGTACAACCAGAGGGAAAGCGACGCATGAAGTGCCAAATGTCCAACCTAGAATATTACATGATAATATGTATATCTATTTGACATTTTTTTAAATTCATACATAACTTAGGCATTTAATGCTTATATGTTTTATTCAACTATTTTTTTTATTTTTACTAAGAAAATCTTAAAGTAATTGCACTATAAAAAAAAATTACATTCATATCATTGATATGTAATGTATTTTTTAAAGACAATTGATCAAAGCAGGAAAAAGAGAACATGATGATGTTAGTCAATTCTATAAAGTATAATATTGATATTATTATTTATAAACTGAATTGACTACGGATTTTTCCGTTATTTTCTGATTATGACAACGAGCACAAGGCGGGTGTGACCGGTCGGCAGGGGATGCTCACTCCTCCATGGCACCTGATTCCACCTCTGATGTTTCGGAGGTCCGTGTTTGCTTTGCTCTTATTTTGTATATTTGTTTAATGGACGTTGAGATTGAATACTGTTCGTTATTTCCATATCCTTCATTGATACCTTATATGAAGAAAAGGCCATGCACCAAAGTACTTCCGTACAGAGGAGGTTCTACAGCAGTCCCTATCAACATAGAGGGCCTTCGGAGGAGAAACTTCAGCATTCCGGTACCGTGCAACAAGGCCATCAATCATTGGCTTCAAGCTTAACCCTTCACCAACAGTTAAGACCGACATCAACACTTGTCCGTGTTCATTACCAATGTTTGTGGCCCTAATGGCGGTCTTCCTCCCTTTTCCTTTAATGTAATTAAGATCATTAGATTAATATGAAAGGATACATTAAGAAATTCTGTTACACTCTTCCAGAAAAACTAATTTAAGCACAGTCAAACCTTGTTATTTCAAACTCTATGTGACCAAGAAAAAGTTTTGAGATATCCGAAAGATGATCTAAAATCATAGATAATAAAAGAGTTTAAAATTACTTGTAAAGGAATAAAATAAAAAAAAAACAAATAAGAAAAGGGCATCTTTAAAAAAAAAATGTTTGGTTGCCCTCTTTCGACCGAACAGCTAAAAATGGCTTGACTCAAAACTTAAAATCACCTCCAAGAAGTAAATTTTAGGAGGCATTCTGGAAAATAGTTATTGAATTTAGCATTTTGAAATTTACTCAAAACATTTTTTTCGCCAACCTACCCACTATTAATTTTATCATCCTGAGTCAGGAGAGGGCAAGCAAACAATATTTTAACATTTTATCTGCAAGTTTATTCTTGATCTTCTTTGTTGAATCCATCTTCAGTATATTACCAATCTGGGATGTCAGGTGAGCTTTGATGTAATCTACTCGTTGAAGAACATCCAGCTGATATACCTTCATGAACCAACTGTATCCTGGAACTTCTGTAGGTATCGGAGGCTCACTAAACTGTGTCGGCACAAATAAACCCCTGTCTACTGAAGCTTTGAATTCCCTGCAATTAGAGAGATACATTTGTAATTTTATAAGATATGACTCACCATGTTGTTCTCTTACCTGTTGCCAGACTGCACTGCTGTTGTTACCATGTCCCCTCTGTCGCATTAGGCGAACAACTTTCAGGTCACAGGTATTCTTAAGGGTAAGGATGCAGGGAAAGGTGGATCTTGTGGCGTTATCCAGTTGTTTAAGTACACCTTCACTCCAGCTGATGACTGTTGGCATTTAAAACCAGAAGTCTCTGTCGAGACTGAAGCTCTACTGGTTTGTACTTATAGCAAAGGAAGAGAAAAGTACTTAAGCAGTTGAAAAATTGAAACTTTTCAACAGCAATAAATAGAATAATGATCCTTGTTTAAGTCTCTTTATCTTCTTAGTGTAGTCTACATGCATGCCACATTATATTATAACCAGACTAAAACTGTTATTTGGAGTAGCATTTTGATAGTATTTAACAGAAATTTCTATTTTTAGTAACCATGGCAACACCGTTCATCGAAATCAAAAACCGATACACAGAATTATGTATCTTAGTGTAGTTTACTTGTGTGCCAAGTTATATTGAAATCTGACCAAAACTGTAGGAGGAGTAGCATTTTGAAAGAATTTCACAGAAATTTCTATTTTTAGTAACCACGGCAACACCGTTCATTGAAATCAAAAACCGATACACAGAATTATGTATCTTAGAGTAGCCTACTTGTGTGCCAAGTTATATTGAAATCAGACCAAAACTGTAGGAGGAGTAGCATTTTGAAAGAATTTCACAAAAATTTCTATTTTTAGTAACAACGGCAACACCGTTCATCGAAATCAAAAACCAATACACAGAATTATGTATCTTAGTGTAGCCTACTTGTGTGCCAAGTTATATGGAAATCAGACCAAAACTGTAGGAGGAGTAGCATTCAATCTAATTAAAATTAGATGTTAGATCCGCTCGCACACTCTCTACACTAACATCTAACAACATCCCATAGAGGGTTTCGTCAGAGGTCAAAGTCGGTCAACCAATCAAATTGTCGTTGGCAAAATCATCGGATATTTGTTGACGTAATCGAAGCGAGTAAGTCTTGAGTTGTTCCGAATTTGACCTCTGACGTGACCCTCTATGAGATGTTGTTAGATGTTAGTGTAGAGAGTGTGCGAGCGGATCTAACATCTAATTTTAATTAGATTGAGTAGCATTTTGAAAGAATTTCACAAAAATTTCTATTTTTAGTAACAACGGCAACACCGTTCATCGAAATCAAAAACCGATACACAGAATTATGTATCTTAGTGTAGTCTACTTGTATGCCAAGTGATATTGAAATCAGACCAAAACTGTAGGAGGAGTAGCATTTTGAAAGAATTTCACAAATATTTCTATTTTTTGTAACCACGGTAACACCGTTCATTGAAATCAAAAACCGATACACAGAATTATGTATCTTAGTGTAGTCTACTTGTGTGCCAAGTTATATTGAAATCAGAGCAAAACTGTAGGAGGAGTAGCATTTTGAAAAATTGTTTACAGACAGACAGACGGACGGACGACGGACGCATTACCATCGCATAAGCTCTTCTCGTCTCTGACCAGTAGAGCTAAAAATCAATTGTATAAACTTTTTTTGGATTATAATCATAAATTGGAAAAAAAATTAAATATTTGGCTATCTTGAATCTTAAAGAAAAGTTACAGGGAGGAGTTTCAATGATAAATAAATGCATGTTAAATTGATTGTTTTTTCCTCATGTAACAGATAATTACAAATTATTTCCCTACACATATGGATACAAAATATATTGTTCAAATATTGTTAACTTAATCATATTAATAAAATCAATCATGGTCATAAAATAATCTAAGGTATATTAGAGGTTAAGGTACCATAATTTTATGTATTTACCTTTCTTCCCACACTTCGAACAAACCAAATTCTCTGCTGCCATATTGTAGTAGCAATCCACATCTAAAACTCTCCTGGTTTTCTGATGTTCACCTGAATTGGTCAATATACCACTGTTTACGGAGTTGGCATACATGTACAGCATACACTTGAAGTGTTATACTGCATTAATGAAAGGCAATAACTAGTTTAGCCAGCCAATCATATAGTGAATTACGGTATTGAGATCACTGATGAGACCATTTAATTCAAGTAATATTTAAAGCTGAACACGATTCGTAAAAGAAATGTATCCGCCATTTTAGTTCCCGAGAATGGCTACCCTGCAGACCCATATAAATAGGGCAAGAATTAGAGACTGTTCAGTTTAATCAGTCGACACCGGTGTAGACGGACGTATGCTTTTCAGGACTTGGTAGCGAGAATAATAACATAATACTTTGTCTAATGCAGGAAAGTAAGATACCAAATAAATTTACAATTATAGCTGTATAAGTCTGAGCAATATACAAACAACATAGATAAACCTAACTACAACTAGTGCTAATTGTAACGGGGACCGTTACAGATGTTCCCCAAACGCTCCCCAACTTCCTTTTGGTGCCCTATCCCCTGTAAGAATTATTAAATAAGACAAACTCTACGCATTTGAGACTTTAACAACGTTTACCCGGAAGTGTACCAAGTTCATTCAAATTTTAGCATTGCACGCGTGCGCGTGTGAATGCATGTGCGTAATGACCATATCAAATTGTCTACACAATCTATATATTTTAATATACTAAATATTAAAGTATTTAATCCAAAAGTATTAAAAAATACGCTCATTCAAGTGTATTTTTGATTTTACTCATTTCACGTGCACGCACTTGCATACATGAGCATGGTGACCATACCTTCTTGTAGAAGTCCATTACATCTATCTATATTCTAAATCCCACCCCGTTTTGTTGAAAACCAAGGGAGTTATAGCTATTTAAATTTTCAGCCAATCAGATTGCAGCACATGTACACGCACGTGTATGCATGTGCGTGGTGACCATACCTTCTTGTAGAGGTCCATTATATCTATCTATGTTCCAAATCCCATCCTGTTTGGTTGAAAATCAAGGGAGTTATAGCTATTTAAAGTTTAAGCCAATCAGATTGCAGCGCACGTGCATGCACGTATTTTCATGATAATTGCTATATATCCTGTTGTAGGATATCCTACTATATGGCTATGTTCAAAATTTCAAGGGATTTTGTCAAAAAACAAGAAAGATATAGAGACTTTGGTTTCAGCCAATCAGAGCGAAGTGCACGTGCATGCTCGTGAGATCTTGCAATTTTGACCACGTCATATTGCCTATGCTACTAATATATCCTTATATTATGAGTTTCAAAGCATTTCATCAAAAATGTAAAAAGTTACGCCTATATCAATAAAATCGGTCATTTCACATGTTGCACGTGCACGCTCTTGCAAGCACGTGCGCGCAAAATGACCTTCGTTCCGCAAATCTACATAACATGCCTACTAACCCTAAAAAGGTTTTACCTAAGTCGGATGTGTAGTTTACAAGATCACTCCCGGACAAATAAGTACCCAGGAAGAAGAAAAATAATAATAACTAGAGCAAAGCTCGTTGCAAAGCAACGAGTAGGTCTTCCGTCCAGTTTTGACCGGAAGTGCCGGAAGTGAGAGAACAAAAGAAAGCAATGAGCTAAGTAGTCTCCAGTGACTTTATAATTTAAATTTTGCATCAAAACCTTCAAAATAATCCATTTTTTGCTACTTCCGGTTTGACCGGAAGTGACAACGACGGATGGAAAATAAAATTTTATGCTCCCAGACACACATGTTACCAAAAAAAACCGTCAATAACGGCAAAATACGCGTTTTCCGATTACTTCCGGTTTGGCCGGAAGCGACGACGCCGGACGTATTTTGTCGACTCCAATAGATTAAGAATGACATTTTGAACAATTTTGCTTTTTTGACGTATCACAAATTCTCAATACTTTTTGAGATATAAAGAAAATACCTTCGGTCCCTCTAGGCCCCTTATTTAAGGGGCCAGCCTTTTTTTGAGATGTCATTTGAAAGATCTTGAAATTCTACACCTTTTTTGTTCTACATGCTTTAACAAAATATTTCTAGTAAAAAAGTTATCGTAGAAAAGGTGCTAAAAATTTTGAAATTCTTGATAGGACTATTTTCGGGCCATAGCGAGCGTCGGCGCTTCGTACTTCCGGAAGTTGTGATATACTTAGTGCACTTCTCCAATGGTTGCCCTAGCATCACTGAAAATTTCATGCTTCTGTGTTCAGTGCTTTTTGAGAAAACTGCCGGACAAAGTGACCCTCTAAAAATCAATAAATTGCAGAAAACTCCAAACCGGAAGTGACGTCATCAAAATAAAAAATTATATATCTAGATTTTTTTATGTTCTATCAGACCTGAAAGTTTCATGAAAATCGATCGAGC